ATGGCCAGGGCATCACTGAATGCCAAGTATCCTGTGACTTTGCTGTGGAGACTGCTTCAAAGTTATTCAGTTACTGCTGGATGCTGTGACTGTATTTGTGATGCTCACTAAGAAATGGAGGGAAACTATTCATTTATTTCACGTGGGAAGTTTTCACACAACAGTTTTTTGCTCACTACAAGATCTAGGGAAGCAGTTCAAAAATAGCATTTCAGAACATCAGTGTGAATAGATTTCATACGTCTCTTTTGATATTTTTTCTGTTCCTTATCTTTAGGCACTTTTCACTAACACTTGTCTGCATGAAATTTCACCCACAAAAAAAAGCTGCAGGAGAGCCTTGTGGGCACTCGTGCACATATATTTTCACCAAAAGGGTTAGAAGGTCAGTTGAAGGCTCTTTGAAATATGTGTGTCATCCAATGAAGACAGAGAAACGTAGCTATGCATCTTAATCAGGCATCGTGAATAGGAAATACTCAAAGCAACAGTCATGGTGAATAGTCTGTGATTAGTCCACAAGCTGAAATCAGACCACATAAACCCCATGCCAAATTATTTTGAATTCTGAACATAATTGTAAAAATCTAAATTTGTCAATAGATAAGTCACCAGCAGAATAAAGGTATAAATTTCTCAGATAGATTGTTCACAAAGGATAGAGTGCAGAGCTACAACCTGGAATAGTATTGAACCCGATGACCTAGAGGTGAAGGGCTGGAGAGCCCATAACCAATCACCTTTGAATTCAGTGTACTGGACTGTCTATTTGAAAATTAAACAAAGACCCAACTGTAGTAATTGTGTCACCTTATGTACTTAAAGTAATTTCCCCAGCTCAGCTCAATATCTGGAGGAGCAAACGGAGAAATTGCCTGTTGTGTCACTTCTCTTCTCTAAGGCTTTATATCTACTCAATTTTTTCCTCAGTGCTTTCCTACTGCTCTTCACAAAAACATTGCAAAGTTCCTCAGAAGAGGCAATAAAATGCACAGATGGCTGAGCCAACAGAAATAAAACTAAAATAAGACCTTCACGCAGATGTGAAAAGGTGAGACAAAAAAAAAAACACCTTTGCATAGCTGTTTTCTTTAAACACTGGTCCATTTTAGCTACACTGAAGTTACAGAGAAAATATATTTATTTGCCAAATCACTGTTGTAATAGAATTACTTTATGTTTTTTAATTAAAAAATCTGAAAACAAAACTTGCTATGACAGGTGTCAGTCATCAGGGTGTGGCATAAACATGACCCGCTAATTCTATGTGGTTATTGACTGACCAAAGCCCCAATATGCCCCAGCATGGTCTAAGAGCAGAGTTACCCTCACCTGTAGCTACTGTTGGCTTCTTGAAGAAGAGGTTTCATTCAGACTTCACAGGCTTAGTGCCTTCTTAGGGCACTAAAAAGGGTTTTCTAGTCCATGGAGAAAGTCAGACTTGAAAGCCCCTTCTTGCCCCAAACCACTAAGAGAAGCCTAAGCTGCTCTTGGATGTGAAGTCATTAGCATTGCAGCCGCCTCCCTAAAGCAAATATGTGAGATGCCTTGAGGACCCTGAACCCAGCAAGGCAGCAGAGTTAGAGAAAACACTTAGACTGATTTGCAAGCCATGGTAAAATGAAGTCTTCTCTGATGCATCTTTCTTCACCCCAACAGTTTGGCTTTGAGATCATTTCCATGTCTGGCAACCTCTCACCCTGATGGAACAGATGAATAATGAGGGCCAAATTCTGCTAAAAAAACATTACCTTCTTGGAGCAGAACTGTTTCCTTCACTTTGCCTCTATGAAACTATGGGCCCTTTCTACCTTGGCTGAGCCATGTTCTCAGCCAGGGTAAGTCAGAGTAGATCCACTGAACTTCAATGGATGTATATTGCTTTACAACACCTGAAACACTGCCAGAAGCCATAATTATGATAATAGTAGCAATAAAAAAAAAAATAATCTTCTTATTAGCATGAAGATGAACTTAGATTCTGATTTTTCAGACGCTTCTTTTTCCAGCACATTCCAAGCTAACAAGTGACTTAAACCAGAACAGGACTGGCTTTAAAGACTCCTTCAAGACTGAAAATAACCCTTTCAACTAATTGTGCTTATGTTACCTCCTTCAGCAGCAATTATTTGGTTTCATCCCAACCTTCCTACTTACCCATAATTACCATCTCCTTTGACACAGTTAACTAAAAGTGAGTATTAATATGGATTTAATGTTGTTTCAGAAAATGGTAGAGCACCAAGGGTGCCAATGACCCTACTTTCACTTTGTACTAAAAATGTGTTGATCTGTGGTTTCTGGCTGCTGCTTGAATTTGACTTGAAGGTTGAAAGTAAACACATCACTCAAGCACATGGTGCATGAATTAAGGTCTTTCTGTCACCAGCCTCTGCTTTTTTTTCCCTACTCCCTGGGTCAGGCACCCCAGAGTCCCCCCCTTTCCCCTTTCCTCTCATGGGACCCTGGGGAAATATTTCTCTTGACATGAACTCCTGCGTGGCTAACACCTGCGTTTCTTTCAGTGCACATGTCCATGGGAGAAGTTTTGCATTTTTCTTCTTTTTTTTTCCCTCCCCCAGAAAATACTTCTCTAAGAATGATCAGATTTTCCTAGCCACTCCAAACACAGAGACTTGTTGCCTTTCCAATGGTGGAAAGCACACTGCTTGACTTTGAATTCCCTTTGGCCAGGAGTTCATCTTCCAAAAACATGTGCTTTAAATGAACACAGTCCACATTTTAATCTGCAGTATTAGGGGTTATGATGGAAGTGGAGACATAGCAAAGCCAGGTTTTTCTACCTCTCAGAATAATAATAAAACCTAATGTGGCAAATTTCTCTTGGCTTCCAGATATTAGAATGCATTCAACATACCTTTGGCAAGTTTACACCTACAAGGGTTTGCTGTGTCAGAAACCGCCCTCTTAGAGGATGAATTTTTTAACAGAGAAAAAGATCATTGTTATAGCTTGAAGCAGTTCCTTGACCAAAATAAAGCTATGCTGTAAAATAACTTTTCTCGGCATAACTGTCTTTACCAGGGCTTTTGCTGGTATAAATATGTTGGTTGGGGTTTATGAAGGGGGGATTGTTCTTTTTCTTATTTTTACACACTAACTGACATCTTTATTCTGGGGAACAAAATTAAGTGTAAACCAAGCATTACTGTCTACAGCATTTTCTTGGGGTCAGGGTTTCCAGGGAATAATAGAAGGAGAAAGCTTCCTAAAGACATATCTTTGTGGAGTAGGGATGGGGGTTCCAATTTACTAGTCTTCATCTTATTGAGGGCAATAATTTCCCTGAAGACTTTATTGGCAGGGTATCACTGCAGAAAACGTTTGCTGCCGGCAACCCTATTATTTTCCATGAGAAATACAGTCCCGTGAGAAAGCACGTTCTCACTCTATTTCTGTGGGAAACACCAGGAGAAGAAGAATTCCAAATCCCGCGAGACCCAGCAACTGGAAACAACACCAGAAGCCCTCTTGTTTGTGTAACTTATTGCAAAAATATCAAAGGAGGGGGAAGAACATGTTTTCATAAAATTTTCACTTTGCAAGAGCTCAGTTTTTTAAAAAAAAGGATTTATATTTGACAGCCCAAAATCCCAAGGATGTTCAGTCTATTTCAGTTGTCAATTTATGATCTTTAAAACATTTTTAAAATTGACTGAACCTTAACTACATCCTACCTCATCTTGTACTAGCCAAGTTTTACAGATGCCATCTTAAAAATCAATTCAAAGAACAGCCATAAACTTGAAAGCTTCCTATTTGAAGTGTATATGGCAGAATGCAATTTTGTTTAATTTTAATTGACAGAGATGTCAGCCTAAGAGAATATTTTAGAATATTAGTAGGAACAGTAAACTCATGCCTTGACACTTTTATGATATAATGGTATAATTCTCGGGAAAAAAATCACCACTGTCAGGATTTACACAAAAGCGGTACATGTTTTACTTTTTCCTCAGTAAAGGAGTGACAAATGTATTACTAATTACACAATTACTTTATTATGTAGAACCGGTAATAAAACCCTTGACGTATACTGAAAAAGTCTTAGTTTCATTAAAAAAGACAGGATTTTTTTTTTTTTAATTAGTATTACAAATTTTCTGGTGAGGTTTCAGCCAGTGGGATGTAGTTCAGTTCACTGCCCTCTACATTTTCCTACACAAAAAGCATGTTTGTAAGGCCTTTTTGTTCCTGAGGAGGCAAATCCTCAAGTGATGTAAAACTTCTATCGCTACCTATTTGAGCAAGCAGAGAATTAGGCTAGAAGAAACATGATCAGTTACTGCAAAAGTTCCAAACACAGTGATTTCTGTTGGTTTTCTTGGGTACCGGTTATTATATGTCTTAATATTTTTTTGATATGACAAAGCAACTTCACATTAAGAAAGAAACGCCTGACTTGACTTAACATAATTTACTCATGCTCTGAGTCCAGATGGAAAGTAGGAAACTTCCCTAATTTTGAAAGTGGCCAGATTCTGAATTTACCTCTTTTTGCAGAAGTCCACAGAACTAAAAAACTGAGTCCTCAGTCCTCGACTTTGTGAGTGGATGAAGTCCTGCTGTACCTAACTATACCCCATTGTCCCTTGCACTGCTGCTGTAAAGAAAATTCCCAGGCAACACAAAGTGATGCAAAGGCAAACTGAGGAATTTGGTGCTGCTGTACAATAAGTAGAAATAATACTCCCTAACTCCTTAAGGCCTGATCTAGAAAACTACTTAAATATGCAGCTAACTTTAAGCACGTGAGTAATCCCTTTGACTTTAAAGAATTAGTTTTGTGCTTAAAGTATAGTGCCCTGCTGTATGGAGACCTAGCCTCCAAAACAAAGTATGGCAGCGATTTAGTGATTAATTACAGGCTATAGATGGACAAGCCAGTTGGGTTAAACAAGAAGTGGCCCAACCCTTTGCCCTTCTCCTAAAACAAATCTGAATAAAGGTCAAAAGAGTTTGGTTAAGGATGTACTTACCAAACTTTCAAATCTTTTGAGGACCATCCACCACTAGTAAAGGCTCTCACATTGTATCCCTCCGGGAGTCCCATAGGCGTAGTCGGTTGTAAACTCATTTTCCTATATGGTCAGGCACGCGTGTTGGGGGGGAGGAATGAATGACAATGTAGAACGGCCAAAGCTGGTGTCCTGTGACCATGGAGCTTTTAATATGGAGGCAACGGAATCGGGATTAAGAATTGCAGCTGCTAAAATGCTAAACCCCACATACAGCGCCTATGGCTCAGATGTTATCAAGCGTAAAATCTTTTGAATAAAGCCTTACATGGGGGCACCATTGTAAACTGCTTTCCCAGTTAAAGCCTTTAGGTAGCAGTAAGAAGGAAAAGGTTGTATTTTGCCGTATTGTTTTCAGTAATATGTCAAAGGCCGCTGAAATCAATTCCCATTAATTTTAAAGGACTTTCCATAGTAAAAATAATGCCCAGTAAAAACACTATAATGAAACTGCTGTTTAAACTATTCTACTCTTTTAAGGATGGCCAGCAACTAATTTTCTTCCATGAGAAAATATTGTACAAATTCCAGTGTTCATTTCCACTACAGAAGCTAAAGTCAGACAGGTAATGAATAGGCTCTGAAGGAGTGAGTGTGATTTTGGAGTAGGTTTTGCTATGGTCACTGTTTATATTTGCTTATATCTAATCCAAATTCCCTCTCTTTGGTACTTACATCACTCGCAGTATGGCATTGGCATCAAATTCTAATCCCAGAACTGCTGCTAACTGGAGTTGTGGCTATAAGTTCTCATCTCAGAAGTAGCATGAGACAAAAATGACACAGTTAATATTGTACATTATTTAGGAAAAAACAATAGAAGTTAAATTTTTTTAGAAAATTGACACAGGATTTCTGTGTCCCACTGCCAAATGGGACAGTGGGTAAATCAAGGTGAAGGCTCACCATCAGGTATGTAAGAATAATCCCTTTTTTTAGAATTCTCTTCAATTTACTGCTCTAGTTCTGTCCATGTGTGCCTTCCCAAAATCTCGGGATTGGTCCCTACACCAAGGAGCTTCCAATTTAATGAAACATTTCCATTGAAACAACTTCAGCTTCGTGGAACCCAAAAGTCCTTATCACACTAAGTCCTAAACTATTGCCTGAAATGACTTAAATAGTGCCAGGTAAGTCCAACATTCAGTTCGTGTTTTCCAGGATACTTGTAACCCAGATGAAAGCTGATTGCACATGCTGGAAGAGAACACCATGGTGAAACAACCAAACCATTTTCCAAGGTTAACAGCTACTGCCTAAAGAACAAATGCTGGTCATTGACCCAACATACACAGTCTAGATTAACTACATACCTTGTATTAATTCACAACCTGTGGTCACCCTCACCTATGTGTATTTAGCAGATACAAAAGATAAACAAAAGATGCTGAGCTGACTAAATTTTTCTCTAGCTAACAGAGAATAAAAAGTCCATAATAGAAAACTTCCTCTATACAGAAGAGCATAATAGAGATTATGTATCATGGAAACTCAAAAGACAACAGAGCCTTCCACATTTTTTCCTTAAATATTTGTGCTGATTTTGATGTTCACTTTCCTGGCAGAAATGCATAGAGTTTCACCCTGTGCACAAATAGTAATAGTGTTTTTAATGGATTTCCACAGTTTTGTTGGTCAAGTAAAAATAACCAAAAAAACAAGGCCATAGATTTCCAAGACAGAGACCACAGTGTATAAGGAACCTCTGTAACAAACAGCATAACACAAACAGCAGTTGCTGACTTCTTGAAAATTAAACCAGCAGCAACCACATGGGTGGAAACACCATCAACAAGAGAAGACATTAGGAAAGAGAAGAAATGGACTGGCAAGAGTAATTGAAAGGCTGGAGATGAAGAGTTTTAAGAAGTGAGAAGAGGAAACAGGGAACCGATGGAGTTTTTCTTTATTTGTTTTGTGAAAGAAATGGGTGGGAAAATAAAACCTCTATCAAGTTTGTCCCTCCTTATTGCAGCAGGCACCTGGCCCATGTGAAGGATTAAGTGCCTGCTTGTAAACTGTCGTGTTTTGATATTAAGCCATTTTTAGCTGCCAAGTGACGTGTGCGCATCCGCCACCCTATAACTCAGCCATGACTTCTATTGTGCTTTGAAGAGACCACTACACCTGGATTGGCATCTCCCATGCCAGTTTTCAGCCCTCTGAGATTTGCATCGAGTTTAGGGGATTATCACACTTTAAAATGCAGGCTTTGTAAACAAGGAGTAAAAATAGTCATCACTAAATCAGTATAGTAATGTTTTGTGGAGTTGAAAAACAGCAGTGGAAATGGTAGGTGGCAGACCTTTCTCAGGAGCTATTTTTAAATGTATCTAGTATTTTTTTGGACAGTATAAAATGTTTCAGTTCATGTTATTGACTAACAGGCCATAAAACCTCAGGTTTGAACAAAAAATTGAGCTCATTTTTTGTGATCCTTAAAAGAGCTTCAAAGGCACTACAAATAACCACACAAATGCCCTTTCCTTGATTTTCAAGGCCTTTATATAGCTTACTAGATAAAGACACCTGAATCAAAATCTGTTGAAGTCAATGAAAATATTTCCATTTACTTCAATGAAAGCTGTATTTGGCCTAAAAATAATTCATTACATGAGTCAAATTTGCCCACTGACTTCTAGCCAGATCTAATTTTAAAAGGCTTCAATTGGAAACCATCACTCATTCTTCCAGATGCTGTGAAGAATAAGGCTTCTTTATTCTTTAGCTCAGACTCATTAGTTTTAAGATCCACCACAGGACTTACCACATCTGCCTACCCACTATTAAGCAGCCTTCCCTTTTCATTACTTTTTTCCTCTGCACTGCATAAAACCGAGCCCTTTGCATTTGGAGGTGGGTTGGTAGTAGATTTTTCTAACGTTAGTATCTTACTGGACTTTATTGGCTTCAAATTTTTTCATAAGATGCTGCCAGTATGGACACTTGACAGCCAAACCCTTCCTAAGTAATATCAACATTACAATGTATTCTAGTAACACAAAAGAAGGAAAAAAAACCCAAACAGCTGATTTTTAGTAATATCTAGCATGATATTTTAAGGTAAGCAATAACAAGAATGTGTCATATAAACATATAAAAGAATGCAATTCTGAAATCCGTAGGAAAATCTGATTTGGCCAAGAGTTTTTACACAGATTATCTGTTAGCTTCCATTTCTAACAAACCATGTTATGAGATCATGCCTCTCTGTCTCATCTATCAGCCAGTTTCAATTTTGATGACAGGAGGAGGAGGAAAAAAGTCTCGAAAGACAATAAAATCTCTCACAAGTCTCACAGATGCTTAAGTTCATGGAAATAGGGGCTGGTTAGCAAAAAGGGACTTAGATTGGAGCCCCCACCACAGAAAAGAGTGAGGTAATCTATCTGAGGAAGCTACAAAGGACAAAGCTGTGAAATGTCTGTACAGTTCCTTGCATTTTAATTTTTACTTCCAAGCAATGTTTTGGGAGGCTCACATTATACAGATAAAACAAGTTCACTCTTGAGACAGTACACATAAGCTGAGATACATGTATTTTCCCATGATGATCACATCACAATGGATGCAGAGGCTTGTTTAGGAAAGCAAAGTTTAGGAAATAGCAAAGTAATCTGAAAAGGCCAATCTCCTAGCCTTCTTCCCTTGAAATGCTGAGAAACTCAAGTGGTTCATAGGCTTCATTGCTTGAGGCAAATCTCCCCTCACAATGACCTTAAAGTATATTTTTATACCCCCATGGGCTTTCACATTCAACATCTACTGCAAATATTGTGAGTCAAAAGGGATTTGCAATGGAGCTAAAATGCAATCTGCCTCCTGTGATCCTTGTTCACCCTAAATAACAGTTTGCTCCACAAAGAGTTCTGCTGACTCCTCCAAGGGCATATGGCTCTACCAAATCTGTCCCAAAGCCTAGATTGAAACCCAAGTCATGGTTCAGCTCACCCTTTTAAAAGAGTACTGTTTTGCCTAAAGAAAGTGTTAAAAATGAGGAGGCTAACAGATTTATTTCAGGTGACCTAGGGTCTATCACTAGTCTTCTCGCTGACTGGGCAGGTCACTTGGTTTCCCATTCCCTAGTTTCCTCAGAAATAAATTGTATCAACTTCAACCATGGATCAGTACTGGGTTTGAAGATGAAAGTCACTAAACAATACACAGGCATTATTAGTTGGTTTTGGGTTTTCGTAGGATCCCAAAAGTGTTCCATACACCACAGTGACAGGAAGCATATGGGAGGCCAGAAAACTAGATAAATTGGATCACTTAAACAATCGAAATAGAAAATGTTTCTTTCATTTTTATGTGATACAGAAGCTTCATTATGTGCTGTATCGACAATATAGTATTTTTCAGTGTCACCTCTTCATTAAAGAGTCATTTTAAAGGCAGTTGATGGGTTCCAGTATTATACTATTCATCTAATAAAAGTATTCATTAGTTTGTATATTATATTTCTTTTCCTACTGCTCTGGTAATCCTTAAATAAGATGTCCCAAAGGTACTGATTCTGATCTCACATCAGTGTATATTAGTAAATCTATTAAAGTTAATAGGTTATTGTCCATTGATGTAAGAAAATCAAGGCTAATGAGGCTACTTGAGTATGCAAGAATTACAGGATTGGAACCTACTGTCATTTAATATTTTGGAAGGTTATGTGCCTTTTCAAGATAGGACATAATTTTCCTTAACATAGCTTTCAATTGAGGTGCATTAGCCTCTAGTGGCAGTAGAGGTGATATATTGTATTGCTAATTTAAAGGATTATGCATGAAAAGTGAATATATTGCAATAATTATGAAGTCTTGTTTGACTTCACTTTTCCACAAGCGTACTTTGTCATGCTTTAAATACTTCACGGATTTGAAAAGCAAAATCAAGATGCTGTAAATTGGGGTGAAATGAAAAGCTTATTAGCACATTCGTAGAGCCGGTTTAGGTTTGGAATATTTTCTGTGCGATTGCCATCATTACTGCATTTATTTCCGAGCAATGCCTCTACCTATTTGATTGCGAGCATGTGTGAGTTCGTGTGTGCACGCGCGTGCAGAAGGGGTCATGACATTTATTAAAGCAGTCAATAAGGCACGCATAGGACAGGCGTCTAACCCTGGAATATATTT